CCCCATAGGGAAAAACCCCTCCAAAAAAAAAAAAAAAAAGTTAGGCCGAGCCAAGCCTGCGTAGGCAGGATCCAACCCCACAGCACCTGACTTCGTGTCAGCCATGGGTTTTCCCTTCCCCCAAAGTGTCCTTGGGCCGTCTGCTTCCAGACCTTTGCTGTCAGGCGCTGGGCCGTGGGCCAAGCTCCGGCCTTCCAGAATTCAGCCCCCAAAGCTGCCTGACCACTCTAAGAATTTTGCAAAGCTTGGTCTGTGCTTTAGTTCTTTAGGTCTTGGGAAATGCGAAATCATGAGATAGAAATGCCACACCGATGACAGCTGGCAGAGTTGTCCAGGACCCTGCAGAGTTCTCTGGTGGGACTGTCTGTCTTGTAGCTGCCTCGGGAAAGTCGTGCTCCGTGTGGGGCCCAGCGCCATTCCCGCCACCCCAGGCTGCGGCGAAGTGGGAAAGCACGTGGCCTTCCTTAATCTGTCTGTGGAAAGGTACCCACAGCTATCACACAGAATTTGTTTTTAAAGAATTACTTTTAAAATTTTATTTATTAGTATTATTTTAATTTTTCTATAGGGTATGTGTGCTCACCAGAGAGACAGAGAGAGAGAAGGAAAATGAGAAAGCAAGCTGCCAGGGCCAGGCCTCAAAGCTCAGTTGACCATATGGGAGTCCATTGCCTTAACCACCACGCCACCTGCTGGCCCTCAGACAGATTTGTTACGGTACGTTGAGCACAACTGGCTTTTGAGTCCTGGCAGATTTTTCATGGGATACTCATATTCTGCATTTTGGTCATGTTGCCAGGCAGAAAACTTGATCGACTCACCACCCCTCGTTTCCCTCCCGATGAGTTATCCGCATGGGGCACTTGGGGCAGAGGGGCATCGACGCCCGTGACCTGACATTAAGCAGTGGGTCAGTGTCTGGACCTGGGTCCTGACTGTCAGTAGCTCAGCCCACCTGCAGGCGTCGGTCCCATACCTCTTCGTAGGCATGCTGGCGTGCAGGTGAGCCTGGCTGGCCCTGCGCCTGTGTGAGGCTGACTTTCTTCTGCAAGGGTGACACTGCATACTCGCCTGCTTTCTGCCCCAGGTGCACTTTGTTCCTGACGCTGGAACCGTGGCTCAGATCGTCTACACCGATGACCAGGTCCGCCCACCCCAGCAGGTGGTGTACACAGCAGATGGTGCGTCCTACACGTCAGTGGATGGCCCCGAGCATACGCTGGTGTACATCCATCCCGTGGAAGCTGCACAGGCACGTGAATGCTCGCTCGTGTATAGCCCGCGTCCTGGGGAGTCGGTTTGTCACTGCTCACGCGTGCTCTCTGCCAGCTGCTGTGCGGGGTGCTGCTGTGCAGAGGGGTTCAGATAAGGGCTCTGTTCTCAGGGAGAACAGCTTGGCAGAGGGAGATATGGGTTGCTTCTTTAAATTAAATATGGTAAGGAATTAAAGCACTGACCTTATGTCAGCTCTTCTTCCCAGTGACCGTTGACACAGCTGGAGTTGTTTTCTTAAGTAACAAGAACTGGGCCAGAAATGGCAACCAGTTCTGTGTTAGAGGCTCATCAAAAACGGGTAACTTCATCTAAAGGTGTAAGCAGAGGCTCCTGTTAGCTTAGTAACTACTGTTTGCTTATAACTTTCTGGTTTGTAGAGCTATAATAGAAGCAAAGAAGTTTACTGGTAAAAGATGCGCATTATTAACTATTCATTAAAAGAGTTCATTGATTTACTTCTTCCATGAATGAAAGAGGAAGAGAGAGAGAGACAGCAGCTCGACAGGGTCCTGACACTGTGATCCCCCAGCCCCAGCCAGCCCTGGCTCATGGACTTATGTGCACTTGGGCGGGCATGAGGCCAGCACACTCAGGGAGGGCTCTGGATGTGAACTCGGAACCTCCCCGTGTGGCCAGCCTCACAGAGCCAACATGGTACTGCTGGGCCACCGTCTGGCCTCTACTGTTTTTTCCAATGACTCTGAGTGTTAGTTTCCAAATACATAACTAATATTCCCCAAGGTTTAACTTTTAGTGCCTGTTGTTAGTACTTTGCGATATATAAAGTCCTTTAAACATTTTTTGGTTTTGTTTTTAATTTACTGGAGGACACATACACTCACCAGAGAGATAGCAGGAGAGAGAGAGGAGAGTGAGGAAGCACCCGATAGAGGAGTCCCTTCTCCTCCATTTCTCCTTTTGAGATTCTGGGCATGCATGAACACTTGTCCAGCATGCTTTTCAGACCACTGATTCTGGGACTCAAACCATGCGGTTGGCCATGTGGGATCCAGCTGCCTTAACCACCGTGCAACGAGCTGGCCCAGTACACCCACGCGCGCCTGCCTGCATTTATTTATTCAAGCATATTTATTCATGTGCTGTCCAGAGAGACAAGAGAGAGATGGAGAGACTGAAAGTGAGAAATCACCACCCAGCCCAGGGGAGATGACCATGTTGCAATTCCTTCTCCTCCATTTTCATCTTGGGATTTTGGGCACGCCTGCACACACAGCCTGCACGAGTTTTAAGCCACTGGATCCAGGACTCGAACTGTGGTCGGCTACATGGGAGTCCAGCGACATAGCCATTACACCATACGCTGGTCCCCCAAAACATATGTTTAAAAAATAAATTCCATGGTTTTACAGTAGGATCCCGGTAATAAAAATTTACCCTCATTAATTCAAGAGGCTCAAATCAGTCCCACGAAGAAACGAGGCCCACCCAACCGACAGCTTCAGCATTTATTGTATTTAAAGAGAAGTGATTGTAGACTCAGCGGTACTTTGAAAATGGCCTCTGCTCAGTTTGAGTCCCCAAGTTATATTAAAATAAGACCAGTTTATGTAAAGAATCTCCTGAGCCCACCTGTCATTTTATTACGATGTTACTAAATGTCTAGTATGATAATATTCTATTTAAAATATTATAATATTTTGGGACCACCAGCAGTTAGTGTATTGCCTACGTCGCTGGACTCCCATGTAGTCAACCAGAGTTCGAGGCCTGGACCTGGTCGCTTAAACTCACGCCGGGCGTGTGTGTGCGTGCGTGCCAAAGATCCCGAGAGGAGAATGGAGCAGAAGGGATTGTGGTGTGGCCATCCCCCTGGGGGGTGATTTCTTGCTTTCTGTCTCTCTGTCTCTCTCTGTCTTTCTGGTGAGTGCATGCGCTCTATAGCAAAAATCTCTCCAAATAAAATAAAATAAAATAAAATATTATAACATTTTAATGTCAAATCTAAGAAAACTAACACTGGCTGAAAGAAACTCCTGTTTACATTCTTATGTAGTCTAAATTTAATCTCAGTTCTCATTCTCAAAGATTTGCTAAAGTCTTGTACAAATTAAAGTCTTTTGGGACCAGGAGTTAGCGTAATGGCTATGTTACTGAACTCCCATGTAGTCGACCGCGGTTCGAGGCCTAGACCCGGTGACTTAAATTCATGCCGGGCGCGTGTGCATGTGTGCCTGAAATCCTGAGAGGAGAGTGGAGGAGAAGGGATTGTGGCGTGGCCATCCCTCCTGGGGGGTGATTTCTTTCTTTCTGTCTTTCTGTCTCTCTCAGTCTTTCTGGCGAGTGCACACCACTTGTGGCAAAAACCTCTCAAAAAAAAAAAAAAAGACAAATTAGTCTTTTAAAAGCTTTAGAAGAAAGACTACTGGGCTAGCAGGTGGTGTGGTGGTTAAGGTGCCGGACTCCCATACGGCCGACCGTGGTTTGAGTCCTGGACTTGGTGACTTGTTTTCGCATTTTCCCACTCTCTCTCTTTGATCAAATTTAATAATAATAATAAAATTAAAATAAATAATTCTTTTTTAAAAAGACTACTTTTCTGGACTCGATATTACTGTGATGCCTTGGTTAAATAACTTTGAAGATTTTTCTTCTCTGTTTAGTTTATGACTCAACTTACTACATGTTCATAATGATTAGGCTTTTTTTTTTTTTTTTTTTTTTGGGGA